AGAGCCAAAACCATGCTAAGTGCTGGGGGCACAGTCATGTCAGTGCCCTCACAGTGCTTATCATCTGGAGCAGGACTGTCCAATAAAAATATAATGTGATCCACATATATTACTTAAAATTTTCTACATCCTCCTTAAATAAGTAAAAAGAAACGGGTATAGTTCATTTTAATGCTGTATGTAACCCAATAATTTCTAAAATATGATCATTTCAACACAGAATGAACATATAAATTTTTGAGATACACTAAATTCTTTTTTCAAATTAAGGTGTGTATTTTATATATATATAACAATTCAATTAGGAGCAGCCACATTTCAAGAGTTCCATAGACACACGTGGCTACTGGCAACTGTACTAAATAGTATAGGTCTAGGGGAGAAGTTAAATATGAAGCAAATAATAGAAGTTAAAGTGCTATGACAGGGAAATGCAGTGCTATAGGAGCATGGAGAAGAGCATCTCAACTAATCTGTGTAGAGCTAGAAAAAACTTTCTGGAGGAAGTAACACTTCAACTATGCTCCAAAGGATAAGCCGGCATTAGCTACAGGAAAGGATAGGGTTGAGCACTTTGGTGTTAATGTTAATAATACACAGGGCCTGTAAGTGAGAGTGACTATGGTGTGCTGGAAAGACGAGACTACAGAACTTTACTATAGTTAGAGCAGAGATTATTACGGAGAGCAAGAAAGATGAAAATGAAAAGAGAGGTATGAGCTTGTCCATGAAAAGCTTTACAAACTATGTAAAGGAATTCAGATTTTATTCTAAGGAATTCATCCTTTCTAAAGACTTTAGGTCTCTCTATATATGGAACTAGCAGTTTCAGACTGAAATGTGCTCCTCTTCATGGAAATACAAGGGGCAATAAGACAGATGGAGATGACAAGGCTAAAGCAAGATGATCATTTATTAGTTTGGTTCCACATTAAATTAGTCCCCTCAGGTCATTTTCAAGTTTTAGATTTCATAAATCTAACTTTTTGGTTATAACCATATTAGAACATAAACTAGGCTTAACAAAATGCGATTTGTTATTTATGAATTATTTTTGGAGGGAACACTAGCATGTATTAGGTATTAATATTAAAATTTCTGACTATATTTAGTTCTAAATAGTGTGTATGAATAGTGAAGTCCCACAGGTTGTTTAGGAGTTATAAATTACTAATTTGGTAATTCACCAAGTAATTCATGGTGATTGTAAGGGTCCTGTTCCAATCTGCAGCCTCAAGCCTGTCTTATGGTACTCATATGATATGGCAGAATACTGGAACTGTAGTTACTTGTACTAGCAAAAGGTACCAGGCTTTAGGTTTTATAAATTACAACTTAATCATTTAAATTATTATGTAATTCTACTAAGTATACTGTGATTATAAGTGTAGTGGTCTCCCTCGTCCTAATGGATTACTAGCTTTTTGAAAGTAAAGTAAGTGATTTAGTATTTCCATCAATATATGCATTTTACTATGTATCAGGAACTGTGGGATATTTCTCAGAGTGCTTGATAATCTTGAATATACTTAGTATGATTTTATTAGAACCAGAAAAGATGTCCAAATATAGTCACAGCATACTATAGCCTGCCAAAATACATGTTTTTTTTGTTTTGTTTTTGTTTTTTTTTTTTTTTTTTAGAGAGAGACAGTGAGAGAGAGCATGAGCGAGGAGAAGGTCAGAGAGAGAAGCAGACTCCCCATGGAGCTGGGAGCCCGATGCGGGACTCGATCCCAGGACTCCCAGGATCATGACCTGAGCCGAAGGCAGTCGTCCAACCAACTGAGCCACCCAGGCGTCCCCCAAAATACATGTTTGTTAAATACAGATACTGCGTAGGAACTGTACCAGGTTGAATAGTGTCCCGCAAAGTTTGTGTTTACTAGGAACCATGAACATAACTTTATTTGGAAATAGGGTCTTTGCAGATATCATCAAGTTGAGGACATTCTATTAGGTTGGGCCCTAAATCTAATATGACTGATGTCCTTATAATAACAGGAAAATTTGGACACAAAACCAGGTACTGGGAGAATCCCATGTGATAGTGGAGGCAGAGACTTAGCAATACCATATACGAGCCAAGGAACATCAAGGATTGCTGTTAGCTGCCATACACTAGGAATAGTCAAGCAGGCATTTTCCTCTAGAGCCCTGCTGATACCTTGACTTTGGACTTCTGGCCTCCAGAACTGTGATAGAGTAAATTTCTGTTCTTTTAAGCCATCAAATATGTGGTACTTTGTGACTGCAGCACTAGGAAACTAATATAGGAAACTAATACTGGGCCCTCTACTGCTTTCTACATGCCCTCTGTGAGTCGCTCTCTTAAGAGACTTCTATTTAAGGGACTTGACAAATTAATTCCTTTCTCTGTTCAACTGTCCAGGGTAGTATTTTACTCTATATTCCTATATAGTCCTGCTCCCACCAAAAGAGCTATACCCTTATAGCCCAGCCCAGAGCACTTACTTTTGCCATCAATTAATTTCAAATATTACACAAACAGGTGAAATATGAATGTAAAACAAAAGACATCTGCTGTTCCCATGAAAACTAATGTAGACACTTTGGAGACTCTGATAAAGGTGAATCATGTAAAAAAATTCAATCAAATTAGATGTACCCGAGGTAATTATGAAAGATTGAAAAATTATGAAAATCTAGAAAATATGTTCAGATTGATTTGTAAGTCTCTTTAAACTATAACTTCATTGTAATAAAAATAAAATCAGAGCTTATAGAAGGCATGCCATGGGGTGTGGTTTATGTAAGAATGGACTTTGTAGAACTGCAATTAAGACTCAAACATCTCCATATATATATAAATATGTATAGGTTCTATAATTCTCCACATGTACCAACTTTTTTATTACTCACAAAATCAAAACTTTGGACTACAGTAAATAAGAGGGTTTCCAGTATAAGTAGAACTATGTTTACTATACTATGTTTTTATTCAGTCACTTATCAGTTAGTAAACTTTATGAACAGAAGCTCTGATCGGTTCTCCATTCTACTGCTAGTACTCAGTATAATGCCTGGTATATAGCAGCCTCTCCCAAAATAGTTTTTGAATAAAGGAGCGCAAGATGCAAACCCATTTTATTTCTGGTTTTTCCCTTTTCCACAGAATTATATCATAAATAAATTTGTATTGTTCTGGGCTGATCTGAGCCATAAAAATGGACTTATTATGGGGAACTCAATCTTTTAATGGCATTTATTAAAGTCTACACATATATGAGTATTCTCATTTTTATGATATCATTTCTCATAGCCTTAATAAGTTTTTCACATCATACTCTTTCTGAAAATACTTAAACTGTTTCTATTTACTTCTTGATTTAATTTCTGTGTAATTTCACAGTGTCATTACCCCAAGTATGCAGATTAGGACCCTGAGACAAAGAAGTTAACTCAATATCTTAAAGGTAAATACCCAGTTATGCCTCAAATTCATGAGCTTCCAAATTCTAGATTAGTACTGGCTTTGCCATTAATTAGACTGTCTACCTTGGAGGAAACTACAGCCCTCAATGAGGCTCAGTTTCTTCAGTTATCAGATGGGGTTTTTTGACTGGATGATCTCTAAGATGCCCTCAGCCCTAAGTCCTCATTTTCAGCAGCAGAAAATTCTGGATTTTCTCATATATAAACATATGGGAGACAGAGAACAACATATACAGCTAAAGAGTGACAGAAAGGCTAAAGTAAGGTAGTAATGGTTAGTGAGTACACTAACTAACTAAGGGATACAAGACAGAGGGTAAATTAATGCAGTCTGTTAGCCCAAACTCTTTTTGGGAAAAAATACCATGGAATATTTTATGATCATAAAAGCCACAAGAATTTTGCTCTTACTTGACAACAGGAATCTCAGTGTTAAGTTGGAAGGGTCTTGAGGTATGTATAAAGCTTAAAAAACTTAAATACTTGGTCAACTCTTTATATTTTATTATCCTAACTAAGTAAAATATAGGGTTATCAAATTATATCGTAAAGCAATTGCTATATGAATCTCTAAATCTTGATCTGAATAAATTTATAATCAAGTTTTATTCCTTAAACTATAGATAATATTAAGACAGAGGCAACCAATATTAGGTTCTTTTTAGAAGCTACGCAATTATTCATTTTCTTTACCTCTTTAGCTACTTAAGTGACTTAACAGAAGCCATTGAAAAGAAATCCTAACACATTTGGTAAAATAAAAATGATGTAGGGTTTCAGATGGCCCAACAAGATGAAGAATTTAGCACTGGAATTCTGTTAAATAACTGCAGGAGTTGTATTTTTGCCTTGGAAAACTTTCATCATGGAACACAGCTGTGAAACAACTTTGGCTTCAAACAGAAAGGCTATAATAAAGCGCCTCCTAGCTAGACTTAAGTTCAAGAGGTTTATGGTGGCAAACACCAGAAAAGATGAAATGTTTCAATAAGCCCCTCAGGCTGATTTAGTTAGCATTCACAAAATGGAATAACCTATACATCACACACCCTTTGTTAGCTGGTTGTTTAGAATAGATGTATGAGTCACTGGATTTTATTTTAGCAGTTGGGCAATGCAATTCTCCTTTTGCCCAAAATATTAAAATGCAGAAATGTGAAACTAAGAGAGGTAATGTCAGATCTTATACAGAATGCTTATCAACCACTGTGATGGATCAAGAAATTCTTCTGCACTTGTCATTCCATTTTTCACCTTGGTAGGCACAAATGATAAATTACCTCTCATAAAAAAGCAATCTATTGCTCAACTAATCAGCAACTACAGTATATTTTCTTAAATTATGTGGAGGAGAGGTGTTGGAGGGGGGAAGCTTGCAAAACCAAAAGAAAGCTGGTATGGAAAAAAGGATACGCAATATTCAATCCTGCATGATTTTTAAGTACAAATGAATCCCTCTGGGAGTTTGGGGGATTAATATATATATTTTTTTCTTTTCTTTTTTTTTTTCTCTCTCAGACACTGTTCAGAATTAATGAGGGTACCTGCAACGATGCTGGCAAGCTGCTGGGTTCTGGAGATGGGGTAGAGGCTGCGTGCCTGAACGATTGCTGAAGCGATTTTCTTGGCATGCTTCTCCTCCCCGTATGTTCTCAGGATGGATGCAAGTGCCTGTTGATCTAAAGCATTCACAACATCAGCTGCGGTGGGCATGTCAGGGTACCTACGCACAAGAAGAGCCAATTAGTTTGCTGACGTCAGTTTTCATTGACAAGAGGTGAAACTTCAGAGTATTGAAGTCAGACAAACACACACAGTCTAAGGGAGCATCTGAGGTTTTTAAAGTCAGAGACTGAAATCTTCAACAAATGAAACAGATTTTCCATTTCAAATACCCATCATAACAGCAATAGTGGATTGAGTGTGACATTCATCAAGTCAAGGGCATCAGGAAATTAAAATATTTTACTTTTAATTCACAAAGAAGTTATTATTACTAATGCAGATTTCCCCTAAACTAAAGTAAATGTTTGGATTTAGTTTGTTCAAAATTTAAATTACTGTTTGATACAGATACAAGACACTGACTGATATTTAAATGAGCCTACACCTCAGGAACTTAACTAATTCTGAGATTATAAATAACTAAGTACTTATATGGGAGCACAAATTGAACTTAAAAAGTCTATGCAAGAAGATACTCCCAGTCAATTTCCCTCACCTTCTATAATCTGAGAGCTGTTGGGGAAATTGGGATATCAGAGACTAAACTATGCTATAAGATTCCAGTGATAAATGGCAACAGGTTAAGAAAGCCTCTTGCATCTACCTTCATTGCAGAGATATATCAGCCTCCAGGATCTGACTGGCCTTATTTTTTGGCTTGGACTCCCTTATTCCATAACACCACTGGATAAGATTTACACATATTTGCAATGACTGACTCTCCTTTTCTATGAATTAATGTAAATCTACTCCCCCTTTCTGAATGCCATATACTTTCTTCGGATCTGTTCAGATCTTTGATTAGGTTATACAGTCTATGCTATGTACTGGGAAGCCATCCTGCTTTTTAAGATATACTTGCTCAACTCTAATCTCATCCATTATGTATTGACTTAAAGTTTAATGCTCAAGAGCAATTTTATTTTCAGGTTCTTAGGGAGAAAACCTCAAGAACCCTGATTCACAGACTACAATTTGCTAAGAAGTCTTCATATTAACAATATAGGGATTTACAACTATTAACTAGAAGCTATGTTCATCGTATTTCAGAAGGCATTCTCCTTTAACAAGACATAGGAACAGCAGAAATTTGCTTGACATTTTATTACCTCTGCACAACAACCTCAATCTCCAAACATGAAAGGATATTTGACCTTTACTATTAGTCACCGCTTTTTAAAGGATTTTCATTATTTTCTTTTATGATCACATTCTTCATTCTATGAATGCCAACTTGTGCAAAAGAAGGTGTAAGACTCAGAACAAAAAGGTTCCAACAAGTATGGGTCACAATCCAAGTTACCAGGTCATATCAAAACATGGGGAAAAGGCTATATATGTGAATAATTACCATCAAACAAAGCATTTTATGGGAAAGAAGTCAAAGTCAACTCATTATTAATTTTCTGACTTAAGCAGGACATTAAATTTCTTATGTGCAGGTCCTTCAATAGATTGGAAGACATTTTGGAAAACCTAAATTTGTCTCAGTAGAAATGTTTATGCAGGTCTAGAACTGCAGATTAATGATAGTAACAGAATGGTTTGCTTATTTAGACATAAGAAAATCTAACATTCCTCTTAGAAGGTAAGCTTCCCAGAGGTAGGAACCATGATACATAATTTGGCGGTCATGGTGGGGCATGAAATGAGGAAGAAAAACGTGGTTAAGCTTTGTACATACAAACTATTCTGTCGCTAAGCCAGTGTTAGGCATAGAGACAAGTGATAATCTAAACTTTAAAAATTAATTTGGGTTTAAAATGACTCATCCTACACTTTACCAGAATGTGACCCTCTTTGTGTTATATGTACCTCTTAGAATAATGGAGAACAAACCAGTATTTCCAGGGTGGTGAGGAATGAAGAGGAGGTGTAAAGCTGTCCTGTACATAGCACTATGTTGGTACGGTACCATAAACTGTAATTTCTCTGGGGAATGTTAAACCAAAGTAACGGTACAGGACAGAGACAGGACAAAACATACAATCGCTGACCTCCAGAATCTTGCATTTCATGTAGTTCAAAAGAATATGCCTTAAATATAATCCCTTTACCTCTCACAAGAGGCATAGTAGGGCCTGCATAGAAATGGACCCATTGTTTCAGCATCGCATTTATCAATACTGTTTATAGTCTAAAAAGCTCATATTGTATCTATAAAAAAAGATTATCAGTATGGAAGTTATCTTCTTCACTATTCTGTGTAAAGACAGCAATGATTTTCCTTTTAGAATCTCAAATCTAGAGAAACACTAAAGTCTATAATGAGTAGCAAACAAAACTTGTGATTTATTATGTATGGATAGTGTTAGGTGTGGGCGTGTGATGGGAATTCTGCAGTCTTAAGAGGAAATTAAATCCAGAGCGTTTCTGCAAAATTGATTTCTTGTTGTGAGGAGAAATGGTTTATTGACACTCACCTGCCACCATCCATTCTCATGTCCAAGGGGCCGTCCTTCCGAAGGGAAAAACCTCTCTCAGGAGCATCAAGTTGCATGGAGGAACACCCAAGATCCAAAAGAACTCCATCCAAAGTTCCTGGCTGCACTCCAGCTTTCATTAATAAGGCTTCTGCCTGGCTGAACTGGCCTAGCATAGCTCGGATCTGTTTACTGTGAATAAATGCAGGAGATGGAGAAAAGACTTTGTTATATTAAATTCTTAAGGTCTATGATCAATGGAAGGAAGCACAGCCTATTATTAGCTTATTTAACCAATATGTATTTTCTAAGGGCCAATCACATGCTTGGTATTATACAGAGACACATGGAAATGGAAACTTTACGTCCTTGGTTTCAATACCAGAGGTGATTTAATGTAATTTTATATTTTCTAACAAACACAGTTTATTATGTATTTCTGTGAAGGGATACAGTAAGTTCATGGATTTGTAAAATTCTTTTTCCAGACCATTCATATTTCTTTTAAAAAAAAATCCCTTATTCATTTGTACAAAATAAACTTTCCTCTTTTCAAAAAGAAATCTTAAATTTATGGGTCAGGAAAAGAAGTACATATTATTTATCAAAAGAATAAATTTAGAGATAACAAATGCTCATTGAGGATGTGGAGAAAGGGGGACCGTGTACTGTTGCTGGGGATATAAATTTGTACAACTACTATGGAAAACAGTATACAGCTTCCTCAAAATATTAAAAATAGAACACCATATGATCCAGCAATTCTGCTTCTGGAAATATATCTAGAGGAAATGAAAACATTCTGTTGAAGAGGTATCTGCACCCCCATTTTAATAACAGCATTACTTATAATAGCAAGGACATGTAAACAACTTTTCATCAACAAATGAATAAAGAAGTTGCGTATATACACATACACACACACACACACACACACACACACACACCATGGAATATTATCCAGCCATTAAAAAAAAAAAGGAAATCTTGTCATTTGTGATAGCATGGATGGACCTCGAAGGCATTATGCAAAGTGAAATAAGTCAGACAGAGAAAGACAATTATTGTATGATCTCATATGTGAACATTAAAAAGGAAAGAGAAAGAGAGAGAAACCAAACTCATTAAAAAAGAGAGAGATCAGATTTGTGGATACCAGAGACAGAAGATGGGGTAAAGAGAATTGGATGAAGGTGGTCAGAAGGTGTAAACGTCCAGATAAGTTAGTTAAATAAATACTAAGGATGTAATATACAACATGACAACTACAGTTAACAATGCTGTATGATATATATCAAGTTGTTAAGAGTAAATCCTAAGAGTTCTCATCACAAGGAAAAACGTTTTTTTATATGTATGTGAGATGATGGATGCTAACTTATTGTGGTAATCATTTCACAATATATATAAGTCAAATCGTTACACTTATATAAGTCAAATATATAAACTTATATAGTATGGTACATTAATTACTATCTCAATAAAGCTAGAAAAAATAAATTTAATAAGCCAATTTAAGTACAATAAATAATAAACAGGGATCACAGAAAAAAGGTATGTCAAACATCTTCAAGCCAAACACTTAAGATTGTTCCATATTTTTACCATAACTTAGGATGGGGTGCTGTGCAGCTGCACACCTGATGCATGAAACTACACTTAAAATAAATGCCTTCTTGCAGAAACAATGTGTTAGCTTTCAGCAGGCACTCTGAAGTGAATGGAGCATTCAAAATCAATAGACAGGCAAGAAGTTGGAATCACCTTGCAGCTATACTAATTCTCCTTCCTACACAAAGTGAGATGCTGCCTGCAGGGTTCTTCAGAAGCCTTAGGGCAACTGCTATGCATTTTGGATGGGGAATGGGAAAAGAAAAAATGGCAACTCTCCCACGACCTCATTCCCTCCATCTACAGGTGGGTAGGGTGAATTTGGATTTCAAGAGGGGAATTCATATTTATGATGTTATGTTTAAGGAGAACTTCATTGCTCATTGGTAATTTTTTCCCAAACTCTGATGGAGAAACTGATTTTCAGATTCACTCACCAAAAATTCATTGACTATCTCCTATATATCAGACATGTTAATTAGCATTATGTTGTTAATAAAAGATGAATAAAGCATGGCTTTCTGAGCTTTGAACTGAAAGAAATATATAAATGAATAATTTGTGAAACAACCTGATGGGTGCTAGTAGTAGAAAGATAAATTGTTATATCTGTATTTGGAAAATATACAACAAATGCTAATACTAAACACTGGGAACACAAATAATAAAATACTGGGATTGGAAAGCAACTCACAATTCACTAATTCCAATTATTTAACTGATTGAATCTTTTCCGTCTCCACCATCACTGCTGGGGTGTGCTGGGGTAGGGGGAGAGTCACTGTTTTAACCACCTCCCATTTTCCCCATCGGTGAGGGAGGGATTCCCATTCTAGGATTATGGAAAACATGGCACTTGGCCACTGGACAGATGAGACTGACAGTTTATTAATCACACATCCTTACAGCACTTACAGCCCAGGGGAGGAGGGTATGCAAGGCTACATGTGGGTGGCAGGAAGAGTGGGCAAGCAGAGGCTATAAGAAGCAGGTTTTATAGTTCAAAAGAACTGTTAACCCTTGGTTCTGATGGGAGAATGTGATATGATTGGCTTGTCTGAGTAATTCCATGGGCAGGGAATTGAAACCTGCTACTCAGGGATAAGCAGATATTTTTACTTATCCCTTTGATAATAAGGGTCCTTTGGCTCAGGAACCTTATCTGTGGGAGCACTGTGCCGGCAGGCGGGGGCGGGGGGAAGCTTGTGGTTGGGACAATAGAAGGTCTCTCATTTTTCTCCAGATGTCAAGAATACATAATATTGGGCTTTAATTTTAAGGCCTCACATATAATTCTCCAGCTCATGTTCGAACATTCCCAATAATCAGAACTCATTACTGTTTGTTTGTTTGTTTGTTTTTTTTAAGATTTGACAGACAGAGATCACAAGCAGGCAGAGAGGCAGGCAGAGAGAGAGGAGGAAGCAGGCTCCTTGCTGAGCAGAGAGCCCGAGCTGTTTTTTAGTTGCTAACTATTTCCTCACTATTTCTATATTTCTATATTTTCCCCTTGATATTAATCCATGTAAAACAACCAAAAACCTACAACCACGGAAGCCTTTCATATATCTACTGTCATTTTAAGTCATTGTAAGGGATATTTGTTGGCCACCTCTTGCTTGCCAATCTCTGTTCCAACAGGACCTGAAAATTTGAGCCATGTCATTTGGGAGAGACTGATTATATCTATAATTGTGTATATGTCAACTTGGCAAGCCTACATTATCTAGTTATTTAATCAAACACTAATCTCGGTGTTGCGGTGCAGGTTATTTTGTAAATGTGGTTAATAATCAGTTCGCTGTAAGTAGGACATTACCTTTAATAATGTGGGTATGCCTCATCCAATAGGTGAAAGGCTTCCCAAGAGCAAAAACTGAGGTTTCCCAGAGGAAGAAGAAATTCAGCCTCAAGACTTCAATATCAGCTCCTGTCAGAGAATTTCTAGCCTGATGGCTTGTGCTAATTCAGACTTGCCAGTACCACAATTGTGTGAGCCAATTCCTTAAAATAAATCCCTTTGTATATTTATGTATTATATCCCTCAATATCCCTAAGGATTCTCAGGAGAAACAGAACCAGTAAGAGATATACATTATATGTGTGTGTGTGTGTGTGTGTGTGTGTGTGTGTGTAACTTCTGCTGGTTCTGTTTCTAGATAACATACTCATTGTATTCTCAGAAGGTTTATTATAAAGCAATGTGTCTAAATTTCAAGAGGGCTTTTAATTTTAATTTTCTTTTTAATTTAATTTTATTTTTTCAGTGTTCCAAGATTGTTTATGTACCACACCCAGTGCTCCATGCAATACATGCCCTCCTTAATACCCACCACCAGGATCACCCATCCTCATACCCCCTTCCACCCTAAAACCCTCAGTTTGTTTCTCAGAGTCCACAGTCTCTCATGGTTCATCTTCCCCTTTGATTTCCTCCAATTCACTTTTCCTTTCCTTCTCCTAATGTTCTCCATGTTATTCCTTATGTTCCACAAGTAAATGAAACCATATGATATTTGACTTTCTCTGCTTGACTTATTTCACTCAGCATAATCTCCTCCAGTCCCGTCCATGTTGATGCAAAAGTTGGGTATTCATCCTTTCTGATGGCTGAGTAATATTCCATTGTATAAATGGACCACATCCTCTTTATCCATTCGTCTGCTGAAAGGCATCTCGGCTCCTTCTACAGTTTGGCGACTGTGGCCATTGCTGCTATGAACATTGGGATACAGATGGCCCTTCTTTTCACTACATCTGTATCTTTGGGGTAAATACCCAGTATTGCAATTGCAGGGTTATAGGGCAACTCTATTTTTAATTTTTTGAGGAATCTCCATACTGTTTTCCAAAGTGGCTGCACCAACTTGCATTCCCACCAACAGTGTAAGAGGGTTCCCCCTTCTCCACATCCTCTCCAATGTTTGTTGTTTCCTGTCTTGTTAATCTTTGCCATTCTAACTGGTGTAAGGTGGTATCTCAATGTGGTTTTCATTTGAATTTCCCTGATGGCTAATGATGAATATTTTTTCATGTGTCTATTAGCCATTTGTATGTCTTCTTTGGAGAAATGTCTGTTCATATCTTCTGCCCATTTCTTGACTGGATTTTTTTGTTTTCTGGGTGTTGAGTTTGATAACTTCTTTATAGATTTTGGATAGTAGCCTTTTATCCGATAAGTCATTTGCAAATATCTTCTCCCATTCCATAGGTTGCTTTTTAGCTGTTTCCTTTGCTGTGAAGCTTTTTATCCTGATGAAGTCCCAATACTTTTTGTTTGCTTTTGTTTTGTTGCCTTTGGAGATATGTCTAGCAAGAAGCTGCTGCCCTTTCAGTCTTTTTCATGGACACAGCTGCTAAGGTTCCTCCATTACTGTATTTGTGCATCTTTGTCAGTTGTTGCAGATCTAAGTACAATTTCCGCCCTACACATTTACTACAACCCTTTAAGATGCAGGTGTTACCTTTAACCACAGAAATCTTTGTACTACAGCAAAACCTCACACAAACCACTATTTTACAGTCTTAATCCCTTGGGTTTTACAGCTATTATCCTGTTTGCTAATATACTTGTAAAATTT